TCTTATACACATCTAGATGTGTATAAGAGACAGATAGTAAAGATATCGTCGGTGGTTAGATCGGAAGAGCACACGTCTGAACTCCAGTCACATGTCAGAATCTCGTATGCCGTCTTCTGCTTGAAAAAAAAAAAAAAGAGAGAGAGAGAGAGAGAGAGAGAGAGAGAGAGAGAGAGAGAGAGAGAGAGAGAGAGCGTGAAGGCTCCTGTTCCGATTCTGGCCATGGCGGCCATAAACACCTCGTAAACAATTTCAACTCGTATAATAGTAAAGATATCGTCGGTGGTTCTCTTCTTCATGCATGCTGATGTGGATTGCGGTGTTTGGGTGTGAAGCGTCGGTCAAATTTCAGTGTGCCTGGAATTGCGTTTCCTGTGTCCGCAATTGTGGCTCATTGCAATTGCCTTCAAGATTCAAATTTGGAGTACACAGAGAGGAAGTTCCAACTGGAAGGATCAAACGTCTGAAACAACTCTGAAACTTTCATTCCCTCTTTTTTTTTCGCTTTTCCCAGAAGCATGACCTATGCATGCTGATCTTGATTGCGGTGTTTGGGTGTGATGTCTCGGTAAACTTTCACCACCTGGAATTGTGTTTCGGGTGTCTGCAGTCGTGGTTCATTGCAATTGCCTTCAAAATTCAAATTTGGAGTACACATAAGAGGAAGTTCCAACTGGAAGGATCAAACGTCCGAAATAAATCTGAAATCCTTGTTTCCTTCGTTTTTTCCGTTTTGCAGAAGCATGACCAAATGGACATGGCTTCGTTCTGTGCTGGAGAGCTGCACTGTGGCTCTTCTCCACTGGCAAGTCAAGATATGATTCTTACAATGACGACTGACTGCATTGTTTGCTCCCTAGTAGGAGATCAGTATGAAACCTCCTTCTGGGCAGCCTAGGGACCACCTCGGCAGAGCTATGCCTAGGATAACACCAAAGTTCAAACCAGCACACCCTACAGGTAAGCAAGACAAGACTAAGTGAAGCAACACAGAGATGCAGTGAAATATACCTGTATTGATGGCACAAATAAGTCTGATAGCACAGGGTCATAGCCCACCATTTGTACAATTTCTTGATCACTCTCCATGTTCATGGCCTTTAATGCAACCACAATTGGCACCTGGAAAGAAAAGAACCAACAAAGCCAAAAAAACTTAAAAAAAGGGAGCTCACATACCATGCAAGAAGGGGGTAAAATAGCGTGCAAACTTGCGAACTCTGCAGAAATGTTCTTCAGGATGGTAATCCAAGAGCATACCCACACAAATCCAGCCGTGCATACAGCAAAGTCCTGGTGCGAGTGCATCCTAAATGAGCGCGTCTCCTTGCTTCTGGCAAATATAGCATGGGGGCCGCGATGGACAGAAAAAGTTGCGCAGCTAGAGCGGGGTACATGGTTACAGGTCCGAAGGAAAGAGTGAAGCAAAGAGGATGAGGAGAGAAACGTGAATGATGAGGAGGACAACAGGAGGTGAGATTTGTCAAGTACAGTAATCAGAAAGAGATGGAGGAAAAGGAGATGCGGAGAAGGGGTGCAAGAAGTACAAACATCCACAAGAGCATCACCAGGAGATATTCTTCCCTTGAGGACAACAGACCCCACTGTGTGTGTGTGTGTGTGTGTGTGTGTGTGTGTGTGTGTGTGTGTGTGTGTGTGCTGTCTCTTATACACATCTAGATGTGTATAAGAGACAGACGTAGAAACATCCACAAGAGCATCACCACGAGATATTCTTCCCTTGGGCTGCTAGCTTAGTTTTTTTCACGGGGATGGTACAGTGTTTAATGTCCAGAACCCAGCAGGAAAACTCCTTTACTTTTAGAACAATTTCACATCGGATTTGTACTTGTCATTAGTTTGCAGCCCAGTTCAGTCGGCTTAGTACTAGTACTTTGCAGCTACATTCATCCGGTTTGGTACTATTGTGAGTGTGCCCTCAATCACACAAGCACTGAGGAAAAACCAACATAGCCTAATGTGACAGCACACAGCAGCATAGTCATGCACAACTTGTCCCTGCTGCAAGCCACTGTCGACACAATGTGCCTAGCTCTTCTTCACTTGAAAGTTTAAACTTTATCATTGGCCTGTGGATTGCCAAGTTACCATGCATGTGTACCGCCCACCCCCATTGTCCCATGAACAGAGTCAGTACAATCCAAAGCAAGAAAACTACTCACAATCGATAGGCACAGTGAAGATTGAAGCTCACATCATCAGTGAACACATTATGTCGAAGGCATATCCGCCCATGCTTGACAACAAAATTTGTCTTACTTTTCCTCTCAGTCGTGCTGCTGGTGACTGATGCCTGTACGCTGGCATCAACAGGCACAAAAGAAAAGACAACTCAAAATTAAACACCATTCGACCATCCAAATATTACGAAGTCCATCTCCTGCTTAGTGACAAGGCGTTTCAAACTGCAGGCCATTTACATACCAAATATTACTTGTGGTAACATGGTTGGCTTGGGGATCACGGGACTAGCTCCAAACCTCAGAAAAATGGGTTCCACAAAAGGGCAAAAAAGAGTTCAGAACTCCAGATTAACATATAATAGAACCTTGTTAGATGCCTAGATCAGCTAGATGAGCAGATCAGTTTAGGTAGGGCATCAATCCTTCTCTTCATTTGGAAGATATGAATTCCTTCCTAAGGGAGCACGCACTAACGCAGATACAACGCACCGCTTTTTAGTCGCAGAAAATCATTCTCTTGCCCAAACACATGGTGCACAATTCCATAAGTACCCACTTCATCGACATGATTGCACGAAACAGAGCCAAGCACTGGACACATTCATCAACATGCGCAAGCTCCTTATGTGCCACTTTAACCCAATGACCTCTCATGACGAGCCCCCAATCACATGTGTAATTCATGTCTTTCCCGCCAGAGCACCACGCTGACCACTTGTTCGGAAATCATAGAAACACCACACATCTGATGCTTGTGCTATCACTATAGCTACTACCCGGGTTATCCCCATAGCCACCCGACACCTCTCACCATAGCCCCCTGACACTTCCTCTCCCCTCCCATTGTCCTACTAACCAGCACAAGTCTTTGGTAAGCTCCCAGAGACTTGTCTTATTATGAGCCTTGCTTGTTATGGGACAGAGGGACCTCACCTCCTGGCTTCCCGTCAATCCTAACAGTGCACATACGTGACAGCATTCAATCCCACCACAAACAGTGGATGCTAGTGCAGTTCCAGTATGAACAACACGACACTACCAGACTGTGGCAGTGTAACACCTACCGTCTTCCCCCGAACACAACGCACCCTGATAACGAATGTATACAAGCTATTTTTCCGGACCGGTGCAGCGAAAATGAGGGTGCTTTGTGTTCGGGGGAAGACGGTAGCCTCAGCATGACTCAGTGGACGCTAGACAAGTGGGCTTTATACAAGAGCACTCTTTTGTTACGGATGGGCAGGGTACTTAGGGTAGCGAAGGCAAATGCGTGCCTTGGTCTAAAATATGGTAGAACGCTCTAAGCTCATAACACGAAAAGTAGAAAAGTTTATCTAATGTTCCAATCTAAGTAAGCATAGGAAAATGTAACTGATCAAATCGGCCAGTCGCAAATGCATTAATTGACCCAAAAACTGGTAACAGGGCCAATGGTGATCCTCCTGTTTAGTGAATAACTAATGCCTGTGGCTAAATCCCTATCCCTATTCTAGAATGTGCTCTATAAGTCTTCATATGGCGTAAGGTCACTGCCCTTGCCTAACTCTTTTTTCAGACCCATACGAGCCTATCCCCTAATGAGCACTCTGGTACAGGATCGAAACTGACACCGACCACATGGCCATTGCCAAGAACTAGCAACGGACCATGATGAAGACACTCACAGGATTTTTATCCCAAGCACCATCACACTTGTGTAGTATCTCACCACTATGGAATTGGCCACCACTTTGTATTCTTCTTTTGACGGTATCACTAAGGCTATGGAAGCCTTCCAGATAGCATCCAAAATGAATTGAAAATGGATCTAAGATGAAGATTAGTCCATTGGCACTGAAACAGTGGGGGTAGGGGATGTCCGGAGGTATGCCTGCAGATACAGTGATCATGCACACAAGGATTCGTGTACACAAAGTGAAGTGAGGGCATTTGCACAATAGGTCGTGATAGCCATCCTGACACTGAAGGAGTGAAACTCTGTACGGATTGGATGTGGTCTTTCGAGGGCCTACATTGTTAACACTGACCTTGTAGGGGCCTGAATTGTTTGCTAGCCTCTACAATTGGGAAGGCCTGTTCTCTTTGCCAATTTGGGAAGACTTACCTTATTGGCCTTAGATGCATGCTGCAGCTTCCTATTCCCATCATCACTCCAACAAATACCTTCTACTTGTTGACTACAGAAAGCCAGATCCTGAAGGAACTGACCAGGAAGAGGGCAGCCACTGTTCATGGAAAGCAAGGGTGGGCATGGAAACAAGAGCAAGGCTAAGGAGGACAGCAAGGAGGAGCAGGAGAGTTTCAAGAATATGGTTTTGCACGTAACCTCCACATGCAACGGTTGGTAGAGGATCATCACGAGTTGGTTTGAAGATCACAGAGGAGCAATAGGAAAAAAAAAAAATACAAGGAAGTTCACAGCATGGTAAGATGTGGTACAATATGGTACAATGTGATCCCTGTGCCAGCGAAAAGGAAAAGCAAGTCAAGGAACCAGTCCCTGGCAGTGATGGTAAAACCTTTTCAGTGTTTTCACCCCAGATGATAACCAGGCAAAGGATAACTTTGTTCGTTTTGTTTTCATTTTGGATGAAAGCCTTGCAAGACTACTGTCTCCTCCCCCACGCACCACACCCTCAACCTGACTGTAACGGACCGAATTTGTAGCTTGTATACATTCACGACTCCACTGCACTATGTTTTGGGGAAGACCACAGTAGAAGAATCGGACATGTGGGAAAATACTGGGTTGGAAAAGAGAGGAGTCCTGAGCTGGGAAAGGCAGAGGTCAACACCAACAAGAGTCAGGTCAGTGTCAAAGTTGACTCGCACAGGAAACGGAAAATATGTTGTGAACGGAAGCAAAAGAAACGAACCCGCCGAGCCCATGTAGCTCAATGGTACATATGTGACTATTAGTGAACTGATCATGCGTTTACGGCCATTGGGCTACAATGGTACATATGTGACTATTAGCGAACTGATCATGCGTCCACTGCACTGTGTTAGTGAATCCGCCCAATAAAAGGTCACAGACTTAGACAATCCAGCATTACAGAAACCATCCAATAAAACAGTGCATACTGTCTCAAATCGTGAACAAGTGGTGACTACTTCCTACTCATTAGTACATTTATCACCCATTGGATCGTCTGTTGAGAATCAATGATCATGTTTAGATATCGCCCTAGGCCAGGATTGGCCAGAAGTAGCCAAGCAACAAATTGATTGCATGGGAGAAAGACAGAGAGTAAGTTCGGTTTGGCAAATGTTCCGAGTAAATCTACCATGACCAGTGACTTCCAATCTGCACATTTTACCATCATGCACTATACTACTATTGGATTCGACCAGCATTTGGAGGTCCCACCGGTCACAACGAGGCCCATTATTTGGGTGTTCGGAAATTTTGGATGCTGCTCGGATTATCCTGATGTAATGGACTGAAGAAAGGGGGCATGATATGGGTTCTGGATGTGGACATGATTCATAGGCGAGATTCACAGTACCATTTCGAGAGCATAAGGCATCTCACGAACAAATATGAACAAGCTGTTGTGTGGATATGCGTTCTTTATATTATGGGTCAACAAGGTCAGAAGGTAGGAAATGCTCCCAGGAAAATGGTTCTCCGCCCAAGAGCTGGGACATGTCCAAGAATGTCACTCACATAAGCTGACTTCAGATGGAAGAAAAAGATATGATGGCTTGGCCCTTTCTGCATTTCTGGATGCGAACAAAAAGAGCTAAGGGGTCCTTCGGCCTAACAGTAGGAAGCGTGAGGGTGTCAATGATGTAATACATGGCTTGCCGGGGGAACAGGAACCGGCCTGATGCTTCCCGGAATGGACATGGAGCCAGGACCATAAGGGCCTGTTTGGAGTGAAAAAAACAAATAAACAAAACGAGGTACATCGGACGGCATGATAAAGAGAGGGTGGCAAAAAGGAGGAGGGGGGAGTGGCAAAAACGGGGAGGCAAAGAACTTCCAGAAGAAGAGGAGCGGAGAAAGCAACGTATGTGCAAGCTGAATAATGAGGGATAGAGAGGATTACTTGTCATGACTATCAATGTCAATGATTATTCTGTTCTTTGAAAGTTGCTCTTGGATCAGAATCACCTGCACCCACAAGCAGACGAGAGATGAAAGCATGAGAAGCAGTGGAAAGTTGTCCAGTGCATACTAGTACACTTTTTTGCCAATCCGTTCACAACCACAGGCTCTTCCAAAGGGAGGGCAAGCATCTGCCCTTCTCGAGGACACGAACAATTTGGGGAGCAGACGCTCTGTTGCAATAGTAAACAATAGGATGGCAAACATACCCGGCCAAGCATGCATGGTGTGTAAGAATGAGACAAACAGTGACCAATCCCACAAAATTGCAATTGGTTGAAATAACGAAAATCTCCAAGACAGCTCAACTACAAACTAAAGATCAAAAACATACCCACGGAGTACTTGATTACCTGCAAAAAAGCTTGGGTAAATACAATGAATAAAATGAAGGCAGATAGAAAATAAATGAACAGGAGACTCGCATAACTAATGACTGTAAACTTGTAAAGTTGTGTGAACACACACATTTTTTTAGTCATAACATAGACATTATACCATACCTGTGGACTGGAAGTTGAGCCTCCCGAAGGATAAAACGAGGCGACTGGAGATGGCAGATAAGATGGAGGAGGAATTGAAGGCGGAAGAGGAGCGGCTGGGTAAGATGAAAGAAGAGGCAGAGATAGGGAAAAATATTGACACCCTTGCAATAACCCATGCCATATGTCTCGTGGAAAGACTGAGGGCCAACTCGGCCGCCCTCAGCCCAGGCTGAAACGGGGGCAAAAAGGACCCCAAACAAAGACTCCGGGCCTGGACGTGTGACAGTTGACTTTGGTCAACTGTCGTGACCCCAACAGTCAAAGTCCAAAGGTACCTAGCCCAGGCCACTGGTCAAGCACACACACTTGTTTGTATGCAGGTACCCAGACAGCATCAGGTCCAAGGGAGAAGTCTGCAACTGTACAATCCGGGCCCTCAGCTGTGAGTCAATCTGGACGACTGTGGGAAAAGCACCTGAGGCCAGACAGCCTCGACATCTGTTACTTGAGGCTGGCCTAGAGTGAGTCAAGCATTCAGTCTTGCTATGCTACTTTGACGCTGGCTCGACTTTGACTAGACGCTGGCATTATGCTGGCTCGATGCTGGCTAAACGCTGGCTGTGCATTGGCGATGCGAACGACGGCACGAAGTGAAGGCAGCATCCTGGCGCTTTCTGCATTGTGCGCCAGGCTTGCTGAGGTGGCATGCTGAGGTGGCATGCTGAGGTGGCATGCTGAGGTGGCATGCTGAGGTGGTGCTACCTCTGGTCTACATTGCATGCTGATGTGGCGCTACCTCTGGTCTATATTGCATGCTGATGTGGCGCTACTCTGGTCTACATTGCATGCTGATGTGGCGCTACCTCTGGTCTAGATTGCATGCTGGCATGCCGCTACCTCTGGTCTACAATGCATGCTGATGTGGCGTTACCTCTGGTCTACATTGCATGCTGAAGTGGCGCTGCCTCTGGTTTATAGTGCATGCTGATGTGGCGCTGCCACTGGTCTCCATTGCTGATGTGGCATATGCCATCTGTCTCGACTGTTGATGTGGCATTGTCCACGCTGTCTACATGAGGTGACTGGTTGCAAGGAGGAGGAAGATCGGGATCTGTGGATGAAGGAGGTCGAGTACTCACCTGAGGTTGATGTCGTCACTGGAATCTGCTATGTCTTCATGGTCTTCACGAGATAAAGTGCCACGTGGCACTATTGTGTGTGATCAGGAATATACTTATTATCATTGATGACGTGGAGAGGGAAGAAGCCCGGAGAAGGAGAGGGGTCTGAAGGGATTATTACTGTGTGATCTTTCATCTTCTCCTTTATCTATTCCCCCTCCACTCTCATCTTGTGATGGTAATGAGATACTGTTTGAGATATCACTTCACGATTTGGAGACTTCGATGCAGATAATGAGACTACTGATGTTTGACGACTTCTGAGTATCTGCCAGACTGGGTTCATTACACCCTCTCCCATAGTATGGCCTCACTTCTGGCAGCTCAGCGAGAACAGATAAGGCACCTTCCTGGGCATGATATAGCACTTGAATCCATACGAGCCGGGTTCCACAACTTTGCCCAGGAGATGATGATCCATCTCGTAAATGAAATGAAGACCGCAATCCGTAGAAGAGAGAAGTTTTGCACCAGTGCGATCAAGTGTATCAAGTTGGCAGCCCCCAAGGAGGAAGCATCACAACCCTGCCGCGAGAGAGTCAAAGTTCGCTTCCCTGAGTCCTACAGTGGGAAAAGGGGTGAGGACTTGTACTTACAGAACGTGGCCCCCGACAACCATATCCTGATAATAGCCTTTCAGGCCTTGAGAGTGGTGAAGCAACTAGTTTCGCCAGGTCTCTTGCACAAGCCGCCCGCTGCGAAAATGACATGGTCGCTTATTCCGCCATTACTAACCTCAGCGATTTCTTTGCTGCACTGCGCGAACGTTTTGCGGACGTCAATAGAGGATTGAAGGGGTCCGAACTTGTGCCTGACCATGAAGTTACAGAAGCACAGCTAGTCCAGCTGTTCTATCATGCGTTGCACGAGCAATTACAAGGGCACTTCTTTAACGGCCAGACCAAACAAATGAATAAGATCTTGCAGCAGTTACCCAGAATGTATATTAGACCCGATCAAGTGCATTGGGATGAGATGCTTCCTAAAGTAGCTAGTGCCTATAATAATAGCGTACACCAAGCTACTTCCAGAACTCCTAACGAGCTACATAAGTCCTTTAGACCACGTAGGCCGTTTGAAGGACTGAACCGGGACCAGAGGTTGCCTCCCAGTACAAGACAGTTTGCTCTCCAGCACGAGAAAACCTTAGAAAGGCCCAGCATCGCATGATTGAACAAGCGAATAAGCATCACAGACCCTCGCAGTTCAGCGTAGGCGACTTAGTCTGGGTCAAGTGAAAGGAATTCGCACCAGAAGAAAACATATCACAAAAGCTCCTGTCCGCGTATAGAGGGCCGTGGCCTGTCCTAGAAGTCAAAGGTGGAGAGGATGGACCATCATATACGATAGACATTCCAGCTCACCTCCATACGTATCCAGTCTTTCATGCATCAAAGTTGCTGCCTTGTGTCACTAGTGAACAGTTTCCTTCATGGAGATCTATGATTCTGCCAGATATGGATGACACCTATGACATAGACGGAATACTAGAAGAAGATGTATTCCGCATGGGAGGTAGAGGTCGTCCCCAGAAGCAGTATAAAGTCAGGTTTGCTTACCAGGAACCTGAGGACGACAGACGGTTCACTAGAACAGAACTTCTAGAAACCGCTCCCAATGTAGTTCATGCTTACGAAAGAGCAAGAAAAGGTAAAGGTCCTACCTTGGATTAAAAGAGTTCTCGGAGGACCTCGAATTTAGGACGGCGGGAGTGAAAGGGTTTCACCCAGTCCATGCAACATTGCTGATACCAGGACTTGATCCCCAGACCTTCCCTAGTCCACTGCATAGTTGCCCATTGACCTTGTGTGCTTTGAACCCGCGACCTATCCCAAAAACCGTGTACAAATGTTTTGTTTGTGCAGCTTGGGTCATGTGGGTTTGATCCATACGTCTAGTGTTTAGAAGTCTTAGGGTCGTCCGTAGGTGGCCATACCTCCTCTGAAAGGTCAGTAGGTCGTGCCTAGAATAGTTCCTACGTCACGAGTCCCAAGTCTATCCCCAAGGGGCACATGAAAACGCAGTCCCAGTCCAGTCCGTTTTGCAGCAAGAACCAGAGTGGGACTGCAGATCTTGAGGGCCTGGGGCATCAAGCAGGCCCTGACCACCAAACGAAACAGTATAATAAAGAGGCAGCGATCAGTCGGTCACTCACTATTTGGGAAACAGCTTGGAAGCGCTGCTCGAGCGATTTGTACGTCGAGTTCACCGGTGGTCAGTGGAAGAGGGCGAGCGGCCATAGCCGCTAGGAGGAGGAAGACGACGGCGGCCACAGCCGCCTGTGTACAAGTTAGAAGTTAGTGTGTCAGCATGAGTGCTGACATTCAGGGTAGATCCAAATGTTGAGTGCGCACCTGCGTGTGAGTGTGTCTGACTGTGGATACAGTGTTCGGTGGGAATTCCAGACTGGCGCTCAGACACCATAGCCATGCGATGTGACAAGTTGTTTTGAGTTGAGTTCCTGGCCGCAGGCCATATCTCTGAGTTTTTGTGTGGGTGCACTGTGCCATCTCAAGTCTGTTGCTGATTCTGCATCTGTGGAAGTTTCTGTTGTCATCGCCAGCTGCATGTACGAATGTTGAGCGTGAAGTGAAGACCAGTCTGACTGCACTTGCAGCGCACTTCTGTGGTGGCCATGCGCAAATTAGTGATGCTCTCAATTATTTTTGTTTTTTTATTTTTTTAGGGGTGTGTGTG